ACTCCCAAATTTTTCCCTTGTTCATTTGCTAACTCGTACCAGCTGCTACCTCGCTTAGCCACTATCGTACATGGAGTGAACAATGGCCCATATTTCGCATTGTAGTGCTCAACAGCGGACGATTGACGGAAATTCCGTTTGTAAACCTTCTGGCCGACCTCATAAGCTGGTGCAAACTTCTTGAACCGTAAGTTGTACACTTTCCTATGCTTGTTGTCACTTTTCTGGAGATTGTTCTTAACCACTTCCAAGAAATTTCCTCCAACTTCCTTCCTATACTTGTTCCTCGCTTCGATGGAAAGTTCACCCCTCTCCAGACGATGCTCCTCACCCTTCACTACCTTCTCATGCCCATATAGGATACGGGATGGAGAATAGCCTGTGGAGGAATGTAACGTCGTGTTGATCATTTCCTCTACCTCGGATATCCTAGTGTCCCACACTCGCTGATCCGGTTGCATGTAGGTACGTAGGCATGCGTTGATGGTCCGGTTTGTTCGTTCGACTGGATTTGCTTGGCTGTGATGCCTTGTATTTGGCCAGTGACGAATCCCTCTCTTCTTCACTAAGGCCTGGAAGTCCTTACCAGTGAACGTAGTCGCGTTGTCGCTGATAATCACCTCTGGAGTTCCATATCGCCTGAACCACTGATCCTCCACAATTCTACAGACTGCCTTAGCCTCTATTTTCCGTATCGGAATGAGCATTGTCCACTTAGAAAAGAGGTCCATCAGGACTAATAATTGGATGTTCCCATTTTTACTCCGTGGAAGATTTTGGATAAAATCCAAAGGCCAGGATCTGGAATGGGCGATCTGTCAGTTTTTGCTTTTCCATCTGGTGATTTGATGAGACTGTTGAGGGTTTGCACTGCTTACAAACTTCGCAAGCCTGCACAAATCGTTTTGTCTCTACTGCCATCTTCGGCCAGTAGTACCGAGTTTTAATTTTCTGAAACGTTTTTTCGTACCCCGGATGGAGAGAATCGTTATGTTCTTCATTTAATACCGATTTCCTCAATCCTTCCGGTAGACATGATTTCCATTCGTAGCGGTAGTCCAACACGTCTGTGGCTGCTGCTACAAACTTAAAGAGCTTATTGTCTTCGATTTTGAAGTCAACGAACGAACGGAAAAGTGGATATTAAATATTTACACTACAACAATTTTCGTTTTAAAACTACTTATAGAGTAACGCTTATGAGATTGAGCAAATGTTTTTGAATAATTCATCTGAACATACCAATAAGACCGATAAGATAATAAGCTCCGAAGTCATTTCAGATTGAAACTTTACTTCTATTGATATGAGTGAGGGGGCGGGGTATATTATAACCCCCCATCTCCAACTACACATATGAGATAGAGCAATTGTTTTTGAATAATTCATTTGAACATACCAAATCGGCAAGATAAGAAACTCCGAAAATGTTTCAGTTTGGAATCTGACTCCCATTGGTTCACCGGCAGTGTTGACAGAAAAAGGGATTTTCGGTGTTTAATTCATACAAATTCCATACAAATTTTAAATGCAATGTGGAAAGCCGAGTTACAAACAATCGTCCCCAAATTTTGCACAGTTGTTTGGGACTCCAAATTGATCCAAAAAAAAGGATTGTTCTCGATTGGGCAGCTACAGCAGAGAAGTTCTATAGTGGTATCGAGACAACGGGGTAGATTTCTTCTAAAAAGACTTCAATCCACCCAACTGGCCTCAATTCCGCCAAATTGAGAAATATTGTTCAATTGTCAAACAGCAGTTGAAGAAGAGTGGAAAGGTGACTTGGGATGCGACAGATATGTAGATATGGTGGAACAAAACGGCCGCTCAGGTTAGCTAACAGAGTATACAAACTATTATGAGTGGTATTCAAAGAAAAGTTCCAGATTTCATCAAAATCAACTCGGAACATTTTTTTTTTCCTTGATTTGTTTTCCGTCGATCTTGTTTTCCATGCTGAGCACCAATGCTACCGACGTCAGAGAGGCAGCTACCACACCTAGACCCTACCTATCGACCCATCAACTCATGAACCGGGGACCAACGGATTTACTTCCCTGATCAGAGCTGTTATGCCTCAGAACATCCCGGTGGTGCCGACTGGGATTGAACCCAGGCCTGCTGGGGTGAGAGTCAATCACGCTTACCACTACACCACCAGCACCGCTTAAATCGGAACATCATGAGTTTCATGTGTTAATACATGGTTATAGCAGCAAGCCGATGATTAAAATGAGTTCGTTTGCGTTATATGATCGTTCAGACATCAATCCAACTTATCGTTTACCAAATCGAACCCTGCTGCAAACCCAACCCTCTTACTCAACATCCCAGTGATTCCTCGTTGAAGTGCAGAGGACTCCTCAGCTTCCATCAAAGCGAGTGTCACGTCAACACATTCCTACCCATTACGTTCTTGACCTGCGTTCGAGCGCGGCCGGCGAGATCTCCAGTTTTTACACATTGAGGATGAATTCTAGTCCCAAGCATCGCCTATTGGTTCTCAGTGTAATTACAGCTGATCTGGCAATAACAGAGTAGCAACCGTGGGCGGTCAACCATGCTCAAGCTCATACAACCTCCTAGCTACGCTTGATGATGGGAACGTTGTGCGCTCACTCAGTGAGCAGACAGAAGCAGATGCACAAAAAGTGATGGTTTTGGCGCACAAAATTTTGTCTTCCTAAATACGGCTTTGGGACCATTGTGCAGCAGAAGCCCACGGATGACGACCTTGAAGAGTTGGTCACTGGGCTTATCCTGCGTGTAGTATTCGCCTTTCTCCGTTTGCAGATTATTTCCATAGATTCTGGCTAAGTAGTTTGACTTGAACGCTGTCATCGTCCTCTCCAAGCTTCATCCGCTTCACTGCGGCTGAGGGCGAAGTCGCATTTTGCGACTTACTGCAAGTCGTACGCGAGAAACTATCTTCCGGGGAGCGTGTGAGAATCCATCATTTATGCTCAAGCAAATAATATCGTACACAACATTCTCTTTAAGTTAAAATGATTACTAAAAAAAATTATCCTATTTTTGACATGGCTTTGACATTAACTTAAAAAAAAACTGAAAACTGAAAAACTAATAGGGGCACTACTTATGGCTTATAAAGTTTGTTTGAAGTAGTGCCACAACTGGTACCAATGTATGATAGGTTTCTCTGTTCCAATTTCCATTTTAGTGTGGCCCAACCCCTGAGCAGATATCAAACTGCACCAACAATCTCGAGACGGTTCCAACATCATCTATCAACTATCATTAAAAAAATCATGATGAATGATTTATTGCCACCATTTACCCAACCGCTTGTTCTTACCACTCATTCGCTTCCTGTTGACATATCAAGAGAACAGAACCAACAATTTCGAGCTGTTTAAGCACACCTTTTCTTCTAATTCTAGTGCCTAGAACCATCACACCACTACCGACCAGTTTTGTTAATAATAGTCACCTAAGGTTCTACAAACAATTCCAGTGAATCCATACCCTTCTCAGTTGATCTACATTAAATGTCAAACACAATTTAGGTTTTCAATTTGTTTAAATTTGTTGATCTCTACCGCTGCCTGGCGGTGGCACGATAGGCCATAGGATTGATTATCTGAGTGTTATTTTATTGTTGGTGTTTTATTTCGATTGAATTTGATTGAGGTCTAGCAGAACTGGAATATTCCGGTGCGTGTGAAATATACGACCGGAAATAATTGGAACAGAACGATGAGTTGTATAACACTATGTTTACAGGAAATGTTCTACTTTTTTCGATGAAAAAGCACAATTCCTATGAAATTCTTTCAATGGTAGGTTGGCACGATTGATATAATACCAATAAAGGTTGCGAAACAAATTCAACCGATATAATTTATTTGACTAAGTTAGTTTAATATATCACTAATTAATGGTCACAAGCCAGATTGGACGAATGAGAGTCATAATTCAACCATTCAAACAACACATTTGCATAAGGTACAACCCATTAATCAATTTTCTAAATGCCAACGGAGAATCCGTCCAGTCTCATTTTACATACAAAGTGTCACCTTAAAAAGAACACAAGCACCCCCCTTGATCAGACCGAGACATTTCCCAGGATCCATTGGACAGTCGTCACTAATGACGACCACTATCTCAGCCTGCATCGAAGCGATTTGCTCATTGAACCGGCACGGGTCATAAATTTACATCCCCAAACGACCTGCAACCTGTTGCTCTGAAGTAGTAGGCAGTCATGTCCTTTCGCAGCTAATTCGCGCACTCATCATGCCCGCCATCCATCGAGAGATCGATCGAATGGTGAATCCGGCATGAAGGCCGCCATAGAAAACCGGACTCATTAGCACAATTTTACACAAATCAACTCGAGAGCCAATTGTGGCAATTTTTATGCCCGCGCGAAAAACCTGCTGCAGGGCTTTTTGCTCCTCCCTTCTCGCCCAGACCATCTGGCCATCTGTCGCTCGTGTCCATAGCAAAACATCCGTTGCCCCAGGCGGCAACTATATACATCTGTGTTCATGTGAAGTGAGTACCACCTCGGAGCTCGTAAAATTGATCACAATTTGATTAGGACCATGGACCGTCTCAAGATCTCCCAGCAAATTGGATTTAGAGCTGTACTCGAGTAGTGGCGGCAGCAGCGGTGGAAGCAACAGCAGCGTAATCTGGCTAATCTAGATGGTGAGATGTTTGCCTGGCATTGAGATTAATCGAATGCCGGTGCGAGAAGTGCGCGCGTGGCGTGTCTCGAAATGAGTGCCGAATTACTTCCGTTTACAATGTGTCGTGACTCGGAGATGTCTGACCGCCGTGTCCACATGTTTCTAGTGGAGGGTGACGAAGGTGAGCTACTTTGTAAATCTTTAATTTTTATTTGACAGTGTTGGACGCAAACTGACCGGCAGGTCACTTCCGGATGTGATATTTGTAGAATTAGAATTTATTTGGTTGTTGACATAGAGGTTTATTACACACAGACTGCCTGGTCATGGCTGATTAGAAACTTAATGGGCAAAGTGACCGTAGTTGCTGTAGAATTCTGGGGTAGAATAGCCATAGTCGAAGGTGCGGGCATCTATAATTGGGTTGACAGCGTGTTTGTAGGCGGACAATGACGTGGCGTAGGACAGCTCAGGAGCATAATTTCTTGTGTAAGATAAAGCAGGGGCAGCATAGCCGTGAGAATGGGCGTATCCGTATGATGGGGCTGAGTAGGCAACGGATGGTGGGTGAGTTTGGGTAATGGAACTGAAGCTCACAGCTGGAGCAGCAGCATAGTGGGCCACTACTGGGGAAACGTATGATCCGGGATAAATGGATTCAATGGCTCCAGCACTGACATAAGCCAGGGTTGCGAACAGTACGGCAAGCTAGAACGATGAAAAAAAAATTACATTTGGATCTTGAAATACTGGAAAAACCTACCTTGAAGACCATTTTCAACAGCGCTAAGAATTTACTCTTCCAATTGTACTTGAGAACTGCAAAAAGGGTATTGATACGATTATAGAAAATTAAATCTATATTTATACAACTTCAATGTGAAAGCAAACAATTGAAGAAGCTAGCGGAAGAAATCTACTACGGCTAATTTGGTAAATATCCTTCTCGCTGATAAATGGAATTCAATTTTTATGGCTTTGCTTTCCGTTGACTTGACTTAACCTATGTGACAATTTGCACAAGGCTGCAGAAAAATTTGACACCTAATTGCTATCTACATAAAAAAAAAAAACAATTCCAATTTTGATGAGGCATGTTGCCGATAGCTTGGTTGAATTAACTTTACTCTTGTTAGGTTGAGGTTGGCACTGCCAAATTTAATTAGTCCAGTTCATCTAGAATTATTTCCAAAATCATCCAAACCGTAATAGCACATCATATGGTTTCATTGTAAAACCAAGCAACGAGCGAAAAGGAGTTAATTAATGCAATGTTGCATCTATGTGATGGTCAATGGTAACAGGTAACAATATATGAAACTGAACCGGTGAATCCAAATCTGAAGGTCGTTCCAACGAAAATATGAAGCTGATTGTATTTATCGCTTCTTCGGGCCGTTCCTTTTGATCGATTGTCCAGTCGTTAGGACTGGTCAAACATTTCACTATAAATATTTTGTCAAAACCCCAAAGCTGTATCATTGTTTCAGTCAAAGTCTTCCAGTGACAACCTCAACAAGTATAATCAAAATGTTCAAGGTAGGTGATCCGAATTTTTTCCAGTTCAATTGCATTTATTAAGTTTCAATTTCTCCGCAGCTCGTAGTGCTCATCGCATCCTTGGCTTATGCCAGCGCCGGATACGCCGGAGTGGAGCAATCCGTATCGTACGCCGGCCCAGCGGCTGCCCACTACTCGTCTGCTCCAGCCGTGAGCTACAGCACCTTGACTCGCCATCATTCGCCTTCTTTGGCGTATGCCGCTCCAGCTCATCATGGATACGCCCACGCTGCTCCCGTCCTGGCTGCCCCCAGTCACGCATACACCACCGCTCAACTCACCAACACCTACGCCGCTCCAGCTCTCTCCTATGGACACAGCTACGACAACTACGGATATTCTGCTTATGCTGCCCCACTGGCTGCCAAGACCATCGCCTTAGCCCAGCCCCAGCTCTACCACCAAAACACCTATGCCACTCAAGCCGTTGCTGCTCCAGTCCTGGCTAGCCGTGGCTACAACTATGCTCCAGTTTCTCTTGGTTACAACAACCATCACGGCCATTACGCTTACTGATGCCACCCAAGTCAATTTGTTAAACTACTAGGTGCACCTGTTGATATGACCAGTTGAATTGAATTACACGTTAGATCCAAAATACCCAACCTTGGGATGTTTCTCTTTATATCCAAATTCCACACCAACAACCGCGTGGTGCTCCGGCACACTTTTTGTGCGATGTGCTTTTTCTACTTCGTTAATTTCGGGTGGAAGATCGTGACCGATGAGCCTTTTGCATCCACCATGATTGGTACAACGGGAATTATTGTTTACGTCAAAGCTCATTAATCAACTACTCTGGCTCTGAGATTTACACAGGCCGCATAGAGGTCAAAGATAAATGATTAAGAAAACACTAAATGGTTCACATTTGTCATTGTTTATATGCATTAGACAACCAGTTACTTGTGGCTTTTCAGGAGCTTGATGATTCTATTACCAGTCCAGTCATAAATCTTGGTCCATTTAGAATCTGGACGTGTCTGTGTGACGTAGAAGAATTGGTATTGCATCAAATTTAAGGGATTGATATTTTGGGTTTCATTCACTCTGTCTTTTGCACATTTTCAACATATTTGTCACTTTTCATTTGCAATGTTTCCAGTTGCTTTCAATTTCCGTTTGACGATAGGCCAATATTTTCCAGTTTGAAGGAACCGGCTGGTTGGGTGAGATGATATATTGACTACCAAATATCGGTGTTGCTTGGTATCATAGTAGATTAATATTACGCATTCGCCAAAAGTTTGTTTTGCAGCATCATGCACAACTAGAACGGAGATATTTTACTTTATTTGTAATTCTTATCGTCTCCTGAATCAATGTCTAGAATAAATGAACTATTAGTTATTATATATCTCGCTAGATCTTGTCTTAACTTAGTAGATTTGTTAAGATTCTGGGTTTCGATTATTTTTAAGTTTTAGAACTTTGTGGAAATTTGATAGATTTTAGATAGTCAGGAATCCTTATTGCCGGGGTAACGGGGGCGTGAATAAGGAACCGCGAATAAGGATACCCTCAGCTTATGGGATTTTCACTCATAGGGGCTGTGGTGGATTATCTCATTTGTTTCAATATATAGAGCTATACTGTCTTCAACAAAGTTGTTGTACTGGGATAAACCAACAAGCCTGTGTCATTGGATTCAGGTTTAAATGGGAACTACGCCGCTAGAGGCACTTCACTTTTATGTTACTTATGACGGGCGCTATGATACATGAATCTTAGGTCCAACATAGAATATTTCGTGATCCTGGCCATATAGAAGGCTACTGTCTTTAGCAAAGTTGTTCAGGTGATCATGTCCTTTTGTATGGTGTTCATATTAGTTCAGAACTCTCTCAATACGCAACGATGGTCTGCATGTGAAGTTCCTATATAAAAAGTATCTCAAGAACCTGGCCATATAGAAAGTTGCTGTCTTCAGCAAAGCTGTTCAGGTGACCAAGTCCTTTGGGATGGTGGTCATATTATTTAAGAACTCTCTCACTACGCAGCGCTAGTGTGCACATGAAGTTCCTTAATATATTATCAGGGATATTATAGCGCCCGTTATAAGTAACATAAAAGTGAAGCGCCTCTAGCGGCGTAGTTCCCAATTAAACCTAAATTCAATGACACAGGCTTGATGGTCTATCCTAGTACAACTACTTTGTCGAAGACAGTATAGCTCTATATATTGAAACAAATGAGATAATCCACCACAGCCCTTATTAGTGAAAATCCCATAATCTGTGGGTATCCTTTTTCGCGGATAGCCCGGCAATAAGGGATACCGGCAATAAGAAATCCAGCAATAAGCATTCCTGACTGTAGTTTTAATAAATTCTAGATTATTCATCCGCTTAATTTTTAAATTCTGTTGTTAATTACATTTTAAATATAAGATTGGGTAAAGTATTCGAATAATTTGCAATACCTCTGAAGCATGGCCCACATAGTAATGTAACAACATCATTTGGGTCTATTTCGGATTTGAAAACGGTTTTCACTCAAGTGTATACTATTCCATATATTTTAAGAAACAATACGAAAATTTGTTGTTGTACCTCCCGGTTATAGTGACAACTCGAGAGATCCGGCCAAAATGTCGTGTGACCATCATGTGTATGGATGAAGCGTAGAATTCGCTACTGGAGACATTTGGTTTTGTAAACCTCCAAGTTCATCATTTACTTAGTGACGAAAACCTTTGCCGTCTGGCCGCAGCTTCAAATTCCCAGCCAAATTTATCTGCGTGCGAATTTATCCACAAAAACAAATTTAAATCTGCCGAGGACGCCTCCTCGAGCCTTCACCTTGTAAAATTTTGATCCTGGAAGTTGGCCTATACATAGGTTTCATCATCCATAAGTATGTACCCACCGGACTTGACCAGCAGGCTGTCATACAGCTTTCGAGCACGGGTTCTAGCTATGGTACTCTGCTTGAGTGATCGATTTCGTTGCCCACTGACGCGGTATGCCTGTAAGCCTTCGCTGCACTGTACTACGGGTGGCATCATACTTTTTACTCAAATCGCGATCGGACATACCTGGGTTGCTTCTGATGGACCTCACGACCTTTCCATGGAGCTGACGGTTGGCAGTTCCACTCCGGCGTTTACTTTGAGGCTTCCGGTTCGTCGTCAAGGTTTCCCTGTACGTTTTGAGCAGCGCCATATGGTGTTTCTAGGAAAATTCAACACTTTAGCCAGCTTGGACGCGGACCACGATGGATTTGCCAGGTGACTGCACGATTTTGTTCTACGCTCCTCTTGCATGGTGACTGTTTCTGAACTGAAAAATTATACTGTTATTGTTATTGTTGTTGTCAACAAATATATGGCAAAAGCTTCCGAAAACATCCACTAGGAGCGCTGAGCAAAAGAGTTTGTTCCATTATTGCGGATTTCACACCTGATGAGACTCCTGCGCTAAAAATAAATACACAGTAAAATTTTCGCACTGGTCATAAAAGTTAAATATGGAGCTTCTTAATGCTTTCTAAATCTTTAATTCAATAGTTTAGCTTGCTAGTAATGTTATGAAGGTCTTACTGCTTTCAAATAAGTCGGTTTTTAAATTTTCTGGCCTGTGCGAACATATTACTGTGCAATTATTTTTTGCACAGGAGTCTAATTTGGTGCAAAATGTAAATGCGCAATACTAAGTGGGCTATGGTTTAACAAATTAACATGGTGAGGAAGACCACGACGAGGATGATAGGATTACCGATGGCGGAGGACGATGATGGTTCAAGACGATGCCAACAGTGGCTGGCTTGGACGCAAGGGGTGTTCCATGGGACTAAAGAGAATGGTGAGAAGCCTGAGGTGAAGTAGGATCGATTGTTGCTGGAGCTGGGGGCCCAAATATGTTGTCAGTTTTTGATGCCAATGTCGAGCTGATACCGCCGTGTGATCGCTGTGAATACGTTAGAGATGGAGCACGTATTTGCCGAAACTGCTGGCGAACTGGAAAAAGCACCAAATAGTGGGCAGATTGCGAGAAGTAGTGGCTTCTAATCAGGGTTGCCAAAAGGAAATTTGTGTTTTTGTTCAAAAATATCTTTTCATCTTTGTTTTTGTCCAGAAAATCTGTGATGATGTCTGTGTTGACAATTTATTAATTGAATCTTTAAAAAATGTCATTTGAAAAGCATTTGAGCATTTTTTCTGACAGAGACAAAAAATAGATAAAAATATATGTATCGTATATTGGCAAAAAAAAATACCTCTGACAGTTTTCATTCCGCAAAAAAGCATGCATAGATATAAAAGTTTGTGATGATAAAATAACACTGAAGTGAAAATAATATTGTGTTATTAAACATCTCAAGTTTAATTTATTAAATGTTTGATCATATTTTAAAAAGTCTGTGTAATCTGTTAAAATCCTAGAAACCTATAATCTGTTCATACAGAATCTTGGTTTTAAAAACTCTGAAAAATCTGTAGAAATACAGATTTATCTGTAGTTTTGGTAACCCTGCTCCTAATGCCGCAACCCGGGGGCAACTTAACAACTCCAGTATATTGCCAGTGTACCCAGATACTTTGGTGCTGGTGGTTCTGTCAAACTCACAAGTCTCAGAAGGGTTATCTGAATGGAGCGAATGCGGAAATGATGTACAATAAATAAAATCCAAGCTTAAAATTCATCTCACTGTCGCGCGCCCACCAAACAGGAACGCGCGTCCGACGTCAAAATTAACATTAGTGGCGTAGGAAGTCCAGTGATATTCTTCTTCTTCTTCGCATTTCAAGCTTATTGCATATCTAATATTAGCTTATTGCGTGCTCTCAACTTAGTGTTCTAGATGCACTTCCACAGTTATTAATTGAGAGCTTTCGATGCTTGTACCATTTTTGCATTGGTATAGTTGTGTGGCAAGTCCAATCGATGGGAAGTCGAGAAATTTTCCTACCCGAAAAATTCCTAGACCGGACCGGGAAATTGAACCCAGCCACCTCCAGCATGGTCTTGCTTTGTAGCTGCGCCTTTACCAACTGAGCTAAGGGAAGTCCAGTGATGCTAGCGAGAAATGTCGTTTTGATTTTCAGTCGTATGCACAATTTATAATCCGTTTATGAAACTTTTTTTTTGTAGTCTCGTATGTCTTTGAGCAGAATAGAATCAAAAGTTTCAACATATGATTTGTAAAACGAAATATGTGATTGTCATCGAATTAATCGAAACAAATAAGAATTGAACGAGGATACTATCGGTGATTTCGATGCTATTGCTATTATCGTCGATGAGGAACAAAACAAAAATGGTTTTGAAACGAGTAAGAGCGTGCTTATTACAGTATCCCCCGCTAATCCAAAAAAATTTATAATCTGACTTTCAAGTCCATACAAATCAATGTTACCATTGTAAAAAAGCTCTATAAGGGACCGTGATGTCAGATTAAGGAGAGTCAGAGTGGAGAGAAAAAGTCTGTTCCATTTAGAATTTAGCCGCACAAAATAGGTCATTTCTCCA